TCATCTTGTCCGCGGCCGAAATTTAGAATTCAGATTTTCCCCGACCAAGTAGAAGATACGTTTGAAACACGTAGAAAATATCAATGATCATTGGTGACGATGGAATTTCTTTTTGCTTCTTTTTCGTATCTCTGTCCCAATCTCCGGTGTTTTGGTTATCGAGGGGAATCATCAAATTTCGGACACGGACGCGATGGCGACGACGTGATACGGCGGCGCGACACGGTCGCCGGAGCAGCAATTATCTGGAAAAATCAACATCGTTCGTTAGGTTCAGTTTAGAGCTGCTCTTCTATTTTATATCCTCGTTACATGTATCCATCGCGTCTTCTTATGTTATCTCATCTTTGCACGTTACAACGTTTCTCATCTTACAACGTTTTACAAAGGTTTTACAATTGCTCGTAATCGTAAAGTTGTTGTTGTTGTTGTTGTAAATTTTACATAATACAGAATGCGTCGAACATAACGTATTGCGTGGTGGAACAAATCAACGAGAATTTTTAATACTCTCTCTTAGGAGAAAATCGAATTTGAAATTTTCCCAAGCGTACGTGTACGAATAAAACGAATACATATAAATCGAGAGATGGAACAATTTCGCTATTCTATATATTCGTATATAATGAATTTTCCGATGAGGACCGAGGTGCAAGGAATGAGGAATAAACAGCTGAAACACTGAAACACTGAAACGATCACGTTTACCTTGGTATTCCAAGCGCCGTGAGACTGCAGACACTCGCTACAGGATATATCGAGAGAATCGTGAAACAATTTGTCTTGTAGAAACTCGTTTCCTTTTGGTGGAAAATATTATGACACGCATCCATGGCAAAGTACAACGTCAACGTGGTCAGCATGGTACCGAAACTCAACAAAACTATACCAAATACATCTAGACCTGAAACAAAAGCAAAAGACTCGTACGGTATGAGATTGACGTAAAAAATTACCACCACGTTTGCGTTAGACAACGCAGTGTCTTTGCAAGATTGTCTTGTACAATTTGCCTGTAGGACAAGATACTTTTTTCAACAAAACAAACAATTGAATTACCAAGATTCCCACTGTGTGCCTTTGTAATTGCAATTTTTTTTCGTCATTGATTTCGTCAGTGGAGAAAAAAATCAAGATCGATGCTCTCCCTTACTCTCCTAACGTAGTTACTGTTTCTTCCATTTATTCTGCGTTCGCGATACGTTTCATTCTCATACTTGTGCGTTTGCCTTTCTAGTAGAAATTAGAATATACGGATTCAATTTCAATCGACCCTGGACGTAAGTACAGAAATCTCGGGTCAAATCTTTTCCACTTTTTCTTTCTTCATATATATATATATATATATATATATATATAT